TCCAGATTTCATCTTGATAGGATGACCAGAGGAGAACACGCAGCTTTGGTGAATAACAGCTGGGGGACTTCTGCAAAAAAGGTTTGTAGGTCTGGCATAATTAGGGACAGAACAAACAGTAAGTCTTTTGATGATGCTAATCATATCACGTGTTTACTGCTGAGTAAAGACAACGATAATTGACGCTAAAGAATAGACTGCATGCTACGCTATGCTACAGGAATATGTGTTGAGCTGTTGCTGAAGCTTGGACAAGCTTTATTCACTAAGGGTTAAACACTGATATAACATTAGTGTTTATGTGTTCCTCAGATGCCTGGTGTCTTATTAACTGTTTGACCATGATTAGTGCTCGAATCAATCTTTCATCTATTGTTCTAACACACAGTTAGTAGGACTGTGTGTCATAAACACTATATAACAGATGAAATAATATCTGATTAAATAAGATATTTTACCACTCCTACAGGGGAGGGCAATAAACATCTTAAAGTATCAGAAACATAAATTCCCAGCTGGCTGGGAATAGAAAAGAACATAAAAGCACAACAAATGCAAATATAAAAAAAGCAAAACGGTGGATGGTAAAATATGGAGCCACACTGGTTACTGTTTGAATTAACACTAAAAAGGAGATTTGGTGTTGAACATTCAAACATTTCTGAATCAAACACTGAAAAACAAAACAATATAAAATCAGATATTGGTTTTGAAAAGGTAAAGGAGTAACTATATAAAGTAAAATTGAAGAAATTAACAGTAATTCCCGCTTTCGTGATGCATTTTTTTTCTCTAATGATATATGTTTTTAGTTTTGCTGCAGATTTGTTTTAGAACAAGCTGGCTCGGTTTTGGCGACAGGGCTAAACCGAAGGCTCTTTCACAGACCTCTATCCTCGTGGAACAAGGTCTTACTTCTAACTTCTATAAAGTGGTAGAAAGTAACAAAGTAAATTTACTTGATTTCTATGCTTAAGTCCTTTTTTGACTTTCTTTAGTCAACTACATTTTAAAGTCAGATATTGTACTTTCTACTCCACTATATGTAGAGGAAGTTGTTCCTTTTGGCTCAGCTTAGCTTTTTAATCTGCTGTTGCTGTTTTTTCTTTGTTGAAAATTACACAGAAATGTTAAATACTTAAGTAGTTTCAAAAGTAAGTAGTTGCCTACTTTAACTTGAGTAGATTTTTAACTGAGTAACTTTTACTTGTAGTTTAGTAAAATTTGACTATTAACATCAATACTTGTACTCAGGTACTAAAGATGAGTACTTTGTCCACCGATGCTTCAGAAGCCATAGTCTCTCAAATATATAAACCTACATAAAGTATTTAGCTATAAAGGAAAACTAAATATGGATAAATAAACATGTATAATAAACTAAACATGTATATTAAACTAAATAAGAACTTTAAAGTTATATGGATTATGAACGGCTCTTATTCATGTCCTCGAAACAAACGTTGCACATGCATTGAATTTTAAACTACACCAACATAATCACTCATTGTGTCTGTGCTTTAGCTTTATGGTCAGGTCATGTTCTTCTATGACTATTTATATACACTATAAACCGGATTTGTTTGTCGTGTGGCCTGTTGAAGCAACACATACTGTAAATTGGTGATGTATAAGTAAACTAAACTGAAGTGCATTGACCCAGAAGCTTTGATTAAATGTTCAGGGTTGTTTTCCCTGGTAACCCCACACTTTTCTTCCAGGATCACCCTTTATTCTCTCATCAAGATTAACCAATTTCCCTGGTGAAGAAAAACATCCCTGTGTTTTGTGCAGGGGTAATATGCTGAGTTAATTGATCCACTCTAGATTGTACTTTGAATGAAGTTCAACTGGTCTAAAGAATCTAAACAGAGCTGCTCCTTCCACATCTTTGATGAGTTTCCTACCTGTCTCATGACAAACTAATTCTTATACCGCTTTCATTCAACAATATCTGTTTTCTTCCTATTATGCCGTAAACGCCAGGTCTCTCAAACATGTTTGCTGTAGCACTATCCTCTGCTATTGGACAAAGAAATAAACTAAAACTCTGCCAAGTGGTCGAAGCTTGGAATATTTTTATGTAATTGAAAGCAGGAATGTTGTTCTGCTGTTCATATATTATAGACAGGTAGACTCGAGTTTAGGAGACACCTGAAGAGTGAGACAACCGGAAGTTGGACTGGATTTTATTTGTGGGTATCAGAGCAAAGCAGTGTGAATACCAAGTTAGCTTGTCTTGGTCTATAACAAAAAAAAATAAAAAATCAATAAATAAAAGTACCTCTTTTACTGCCGTAAAAAAAAAAAAATTCATGTGTATATTGCAGGATGATGTCATTTCTTGAAAATACTGTAGATATGAGATGGAACAAATGGGTTTAAGCTTCATCCTATGTCTATGAGACAAAACCATTTATCTTTGAAATCGTTACAATAAAGCAATAAAGGAATCCAACTCCTCATACATTACCACATGTTTCCGTGACGTTTTTACGTCAGTAATTAACCTCTGATACAAGTTGTCAAGTTATGTGATATTTTCTTATTTTTCTTTTTTTATTATTCATCAGAGTTATATGTTAAAATCCCAATTTGATTATTGTAATTGTTGAATATGCTCAAAGTGATGAGTTAGCTAAATTTGAATGAACAGTTTACATGGTTCCCATAAAAGTTGAATTCGGATGGACTTTGCTTATAAGGACTTTGCTCTCCTAGTCCTGCTATCAGATTCCTGATGACGTATTGGTCACAAGCTTTAGATTGCGTGTGTCTGGGTGAAAGCTGTGGATGATAAAAGGGCGCCTCAAGCATCCCTGAACACACACTCCTGAAGTTTCAGACCTCAACGGACACTCAGTCATCTCTGCAGTAAAGGTATGACCATATGCTTTATTGTACCTTTTACCAGAATACTTATTTGTTTAAGTCTTTTTGCCCCAGGCTTTTTGTTTTTTTTTTTTCTTGATTCCCCCCCCAAATTAAAAAAAACCTTATTTTTTTCCAGTTTTAACAAACTGAAAATCAAACTCTTTTCCATCAAACAGAACAAAAAAATTAACATTTTTTTAACGTGTACATTTCTGTCAAAAGAAATAACACATACACTGTAAAAGGAGCAGGATAAATTATCCTTCTGTGTCAGTAACTATAAAACCCAGCTCAACGGTAAAGGAGGAAAAGTATTAATGGTGCAACATTTAGTTCAAGGATGCTTTTTATGGTGCTTTTGTTTAGAGAAGATTACAGTGCTGGACCTTTAGAACAAGGTGTTGTTTGAAACCATAAACCCTTGGCTGTGAGGTCAGGCATCAGCTCCGACAATCATAATTCTTTTGCTGAGTGAACCTGAGGTGTTATTTTGATGTTTACATAGCTACAGTAGTCTAACAAGTTAACATATAACATTTATTTATACTGAAATTACTACTTCTGTAGTAATATGCCTTTTGAGTATTCAGCCTCAGTGATACTTCAAGAGAAACTGTGCCCTCTGTGAGCATGAAAAACGTGCAATACTTAAAGAAGATTACAGATGCCCTCTGGGTTTTTTTTCCCTGTAGATTACCAGGGTTAATATTTCACCAAACCTAATCCTGTTTGTCCCATTCTGTGTCCACTTGTGTTTTTAGTCTGTGCAAATCTTTTTTGTTTGTTTGTTTCGTTTTTTTTTTTAATTTATTTATTTTTTTAGAAAATGTGAAACAGGAAATCAAAAATAAAGTAGTTAAGAGACAGAATCTTTCTAAACTGATCTTTTTCTCCTCTGTCCATTAGCACAAATCAGCCAAGATGTGCACAGGTTTCCTCAAAGTCATGATGTTCATCTTCAATGGTGCCATCTTTGTAAGTATGGGAACAACAATATAGGACATTTTGAATTCAACCAACTAGATCTGGTTAAATTGTAAAGTCCCTTGAGATGACATGTTTTGTGAATTGATGCTGTATAAAATACCCTGAATTGATATGTTACCATTTTGTTTTATTATGTTGAAAATCTCTGCAAGAATTGTTTTTAATATCACACTATTTCCAGCTGTGATAATACCACTGTTAAATTAATTGACTAATATTTGCGTGTGCAGCAGCAGCAGGGTCATCATTAATGTGTTGAAATGTCATGCTGTTGCATTTTGTTTCAGATCTTCTCTAATGCTTTGTTATTCTTGCAGCTGTGTGGCATAGCCGGTCTGGGAGTTGGTATATGGCAAATTGTAACCATTTTGTTTTATTTACTGGGCACTAATAAAAAGTATGTTGTCTCCTGTCCCTTCAGTTTTTCAGCATTATGCTAATCATCTTCTTCGTCGAGGTTGCAGGAGCCATTGTGCTGTTTGTCTTCACTGATGTTGTAAGAGCTTCTGAAAAGTAAACCAGGCCCTTTTTGGGTCTTAAGGTTTACAGATCTCATTAAGAAAGTGATTTCATTGCATGACGGGTTACTGTTTGCTTCTCATTCTCAGGTGGATGAATTGTTTGAGGAATTGGAAGATGATGTGAAAACGGCCATTCAAAGCAAATATGGGAATCCAAATGACATGACCACACTGTGGGATACAGCCATGAAGGAGGTGCTGAATTTATTCCTTGTTAATCAGCATAGTGCAAGCTGTGTTTCACAGAGGCATTTCTTTGTAAAGTAGCTCTTTAATTAATACTTTTTTTTTTTGCAGTTCAGGTGCTGTGGATACAAGAACTACACTGACTTTGATGGCTCGCCTTTTAACCAGCTGAAAGGTGAATACCCTGGCCCATGCTGCGGAACACCGGACGGAAAATGTAGTTTGACGGAAGTGCAACAAGTGGTATGAGACCAACTCTATTTTGTTTAGCTTCATTCAAAAATATAAAGAAGCACTGGGTTCCTGTCCTTTACTCAACTAAAATCCATCCATTTCAGGACATTCCAGGTTGCTTTACTAAACTGGTGACGGTGTTGGAGGATAACTCTTTCATCATTGCTGGCGTAGCTTTCGGAATAGCTGCTATTGAGGTACATTGTTACACCATTTGTTTTGGGGTTTTTTCTTCATGTTTTAACATTTTTTTTGCTTCATATACTTAAAAGAAAGTAAAACAAATTTTTTTCTAATAAATCTGATCAACCATTAATGAGTTTTCTTCTCCCACAGATTGCAGCCATGGTGGTTTCTATGGTTCTTTACTGCAATGCTGGCAAAAAGTCATGATTCCCACTTAGAATGATGATAAGATCCTAGTTGTTGGTTCTAATAGAAAAGCGCTTCTTTGTAAATAGTTTATAATATATTTAAATTCACACATGAACAGATAATGCTCTTCATGTGTTAATGACTGATACTGCGTTGTAAATTGAAACCTGTTTGTTTACTGTGTCTAAACTGTGATTTATTCATAGTTTTAGAAGGTGCTTACCTCAGCTGATGCTGTTTCTGCTCATGTGTTCAACAGTGAGATGTGATGAAGCACAGAGGTGGCATCTGTTGAGCTTGTGTTCATTTTTATGCATTACTTCCATTTATGACTATGATAGAACGTGTGTATTTTGTATATTATTTTATGTTATATTTGCCTGTTCCTAAAAGCATATTTAAGTTTTTTTTCTTCTTTTTAATGTGTTTGTACTGGGATGGTGCAATAAAAATTAAGAACAGAATTTGTCTGGTTATCAAGCTGTGTTTTTTTAGCTAAACTTACCTAACTTTGCACAAGACAAGCAGATTAGTTAGTAATAGTTTAACCCAAAAGTTTAATTTTCTTCATCATCAGCATGATTTTTATTTTCATTTTAAGATTTTTGAGAGGCAATGAGACCATTCTTGCTGAGTCACAATTATATCACTTACAATTTTGGGAAATTAAAACAAGAATAGTGCCACAAGTTTAAATTTGTTAAAGATTTTCTGAAATCGACACAGGGTCCAAATCATACACAGGTATGCTTGAAAAATTACACAATCCTTTAATTAGAGAAAGTAATATATAAAAAATATAACAAATGTAAATCATGATATTGATTTTTAATATATATCTATCCATATATTTATAAACATATATAGAGATACTCTGATATGTATATATTAGTGAGTAAAACAAGTAAAGAGGCCTGACAGAGCTCCTGAACTAAAATGTTGTTAACCAAAACTCTTTGAGGCAATCATGAAAATCAGATGTTTTCTGTAAAGTTAAGGAAAGTCAGACTTCTGCAGCTGTTCGCAGGTACTGTATGTTGTGTAGCTGTTAATGAGGAAGGTACTTTATTTTGTATTGGACAGTTTTTTTTAGAATTATTGTTTTAAACAAAAATTCTAAATAAATTTTTCATTTTAGGTAATTACTATTTCCCTAAAGCCAGCTTAGGTATCTCCTGTTTGGGATCATTTTCTTGCTTGAAGTGTCCTTGCTCGTTTCATCTTCATCACTCTGATAAATGGCAGCAGATTTATCTCAAGAATGTCTTGGTACATTTTTCCATTCATCCTGACTTATATTAAGGAAAGTTTGCCAGAAGAACTTCCCTACACCATGACGTTCCTGCCTCCAAACCTCAGTCAGTATGGTGCTTTTGGGTTAATGTGTAAAATACAAATCCGACATTTACAAGTATGAATTTACAACCTCTAATTAAGCTGCCAGATCCCTTTTTCACTTGGTGATGGTAATTCAGCAGAGACTTGTTTGTAAAATGAAGCTTAAGTGAAAACTCAATCTGGAAGACTCTTATCAGCTTCACCTGAAACACCCTGCAATTTCCCTTTGTTTAGCTCCAGCCAATCAGCTCGGGGGCCACATCTTCTCAATCATCTTTCAAAATCCCCTTCATTAATCTCCTCGCCTAGCTTCTCTCTCCTCCATGCAAGCAAGCCTTCACCCACCTCTACCCCATCTCCTCCCTCATTCTCATACTATTCTGTCCCAATCATCCTCTGGCTTATTACACCATCAGTGTCTAGGCCCTGGGGAAAGACTACTCTAATACTTTTGCTAGGTTACTCATCCAAGTCTCCTGGAACCCTGGTCGGCCTCGAAAGGTGGCCGCTCACACTCAGCCTGGTTCTGCTCAAGGTTTCTTCCTGTTATAATGGAGTTTTCCTCTCCACTATTGCTACATACAGGCTCAGTGCAAGGAATTGCAGAGAGTCAATATGTCCTTGTAATCAGCTGGTTTTCCTTAGGTAGAAATATTTTGAAGAATACAAATGCGTTACCTGTATTTATAAATTGAATACTATTCTAATTGCAGCTTTTCTCTGCGTATGTCTGTCCAGGTTGAATTTCCTTTAAACTAGAAGAAGATATAAACAGAAACATTGACTAAACATTATGCTGCTTGTGCAAAGATTTCGAGTTCTATAAATGGTTTCTCCTTTTTCATTTAAACACACTTCTTAAACAACCATTAGGTGTATCACCAGCACCAGCTGGTAAGCAGTGTAGCAGGTTCATCAGAGTTTGTAGGCTTGTATTTGTAGATTTTTGCTTTTTACAAAGTTTAAACCTAGAAATTAGCATTTATAAATCCTAAACCTGTATTACCACAGATGAAACATTTGAAGTCTCATGTATGTCACAATCTCACCCTCCGTCAGAAATCTTACGAGACGCACCTGATCATGGGAGGTTTGGCATGGAATTTTTTGTCGCATGATCTCGCGTGCATTTATAAGTTGAATTTTCTTTCTCTTTTTTAATTGTATTGCTGAAGCACATTAGAGTTGCATCCTGTTAGTTCAGACTGACTTTCCACTCTACAATCATCACAAAGGGCATGTTAGTTCCAACGCAATGTGCTTAAAACTATGCTGAGAGTGCATCTTGTTGATCCCATGAAATACGCTGGTTCATCTTGTTGAACGCCTTTTGGACTTGAAAACGTCACTACCATACCCATAGCAATTGCAGTTGGATAACTAATAAAGGACATTAGTTAGGAGTAAATAATAATAGATAGAAGGTAAGCTACATGTGTGTAGCCATTCTGTATGAAAATCTGTCTCTTAAGCCCCTATCACAACTCGACTATCTAGCCAGCCTTATGTACAAAAGATCTGACAAAAAACTGGCGTACGTTGGATAAATTATGGGTCAGTTTTGTATAAGGTATGAGGACGGTAAATCACGCTGGATCACACTGACACGCATCGACCTACTCATACATGGGTCATAAGTTACAGGTAAGTTATGTGATCGTTGACATACGTTAAGTGTAAGTTACTTATAAGTCGTGGCATCTAGCTTATCGAAAATCTATGAGTAACTTGTGCATAACCTAAGCGTAACTGATCAATGACTTGTCTCCAACACATATCAGCGTATTTGATGTGTTTGAGACAACCGCTGAACTTGTTTTTAACTTACAACTACTGTATAGTGGCGTATTGGCAGCGTTTTGGTATGAAAGGGCTACACAGGAGGAAACCGTCTGTACTCCTACAGACTTCATCTCCATCATAGGGTGAACGAGATGGTGAGTCTGATGTATCCTCCCTGCATTCACGCCCACAGCCATGACCAACAAGCTTCCTAGCAGACATGACTTTGAATGTGCAGCGACTGCAAACCTTCTTTCTTTCTTTTTCTTTTTGAGCAGGTGGTAAACAGTAGTTAGGTTAAAACCGCGATCAAAGAAATCTTTTTATGCAGGCTGGGCGCCTCCTGGCGCAGTGCTGCCCTCCTCGGGACACTGGCTTGTGTATAATTTCCATGGCATTATGCTGCTGTGTGTTATGCATAAGTTAGGCTGCCGTTGGACATAAGTTCTAGACTTGTTATGAATACTCTATGTATATACCCAAAATTGAAAAAAAAATGCATAAAAAGTTCAGCATATGCCTGCGTATTAGAAGATTCTGGGACTTTGGTCATACATCTGGCTTAATCATCCAGATGTGACAGGGGCTTCAGGTTTTCCAAGTGAAATACAGATCCATACTTGGATCATTATTTATGTATCAGGTGTGGTACAGGCGATTTGATTGACCTGAGTGCAATTACTTTGCGGTGCCCCAACGAAGCTCCCACTCCCCATCTCCACCATAAAGCAACTGTTAATTTTGATAAATTCTGTTCTAATTTGGTAAATTACATCATATTCAGTTGTGGGTAAGTTTATTAATAGCCCAAAGGTCCTTAGTTAACTCATGAATCACAAATTAAACTGCGGAATATTATCAATTTTTCTTAACTTAGCATTTTTTTTGTATTCAAATTATTTGTTTAAGCATCAGGATGTACAAATTCCTAGTTTATGTGTTCAGTACAATATGGTTAGTATGACTGTTGCATTATTAAACAGGCATATCATTCAGAATATTGTACAGAAAAAGCTAAAAACGTGATATAACAAAAAAACTGCTAAAACTGCTAGTACGTAAAAACAGCGTAATGCCAATGCCTTCTAGACTAGACTTGAATTGGAATTACTTGCTCTCAGTAAATCCACAAAAGGTAGAGAAAAACCTTCAGCTGATCAAAAATGCTGCATTCAAAGTTCTGAGGAAAACTCACAGAAAAAGCTATTTTCTCTTATTTTAGATCCTGTCACTGTCACGGTCTTACTTTCTGTTTTTCCTTTAATCCGTGTATTTCATGGGTTTATTTCCTACTTAGTGTTTCTAGAACTATTTTATTTCTCAGGTTTTTCTGTTGTTGTCCTCTGTTGCCCTCTTGTTTGTTCCTTTCTCCTTGGCTTCCTCGTGGTCTCCACTCACACCTGCTCCCTATCAGCTCGTTAGCCCTGCCTTTGTCTCAGTCAGCTATATATACTCTCCCTCTGCTGTCATTCCTTGTTGGTTCCTTGTTGTTGCTGGTCCTGTCGTCGCCGTTGTCTTCTCACCTCGTCACTCTCTGGCTCCTCGTGCTTGTTTTCCCCTGATGTCACCATTGTTCTGGTCTGTGTAAAATTTTAAGTTGGATTTTTGGATTTTGCCTCAATTATTTGTGTTAATTATTAAAACTGCAAGAACTTACCTCAGCCTCTCTGCATCTGGGTCCTCCACATAACTGTGACAGTCACGGTTTTGCACTTTTTGGTTCTGTCAAAGTTTTTTTTTCAGTTTTCATTGGTTTTATTTCCATTTTGTGTGGTTTTCTGGTTTTATTTCAGTACTAACGTATTTCCTGTTTACCCTCTGTTGCCCTCTTGTGTCAGTCTCCTTTCCCATCTCCCTTCTGGATTCTTTTGTCCACAAATGCTTCCAATATGTTTATCACCAAACCTTGTTCTGTTTGGCATATATACTCTGACGTCTTGTAATTTTTGGTTTAATGTATTTTGTATTTGGACTTGGCTTCTGATGTTGCTTTGATCATCATTAAATCAGCAAGAACTCATCGGCCCAATCCCAAACCAGTCCCTAACCACTAACCCTAACCCTAAACTATCAAGTGTCACTCTCAATGAAATTTCACTCGCAGCTGTGGAAGGAGCCTTGGTTGAAGGTGGTGGTGGGGGGGGGTATAAACAAGAATGGGACGGCCCCTTCTCTCCAACGGAAAAGGAAAAAGAAGTCGTTGCTAT